AATTGAGAATCTCGTTCAATTTCCCACTCATTTTCTAGCTGCTATAGAAATCACGAGAGAGATGAATACATGTTAGCTGGGAATCTCATTCAATTTCCCACTCATTACCTTGCTACTATAGAAATCACGAGAGAGATTCATTCATACGAGAGTCTCATTCAATTTTCCACCCATTCTCTTTTCACTTTGCCATACCACCCGAAACGGCAGCTTTTCAAAATACGCTACAACGGTTTTTCAACTAATTCAAACCTCTGCTATTAATCGTAACTTGAAAATGCCCATATAATTACAGTATAGAGTTCCAGACTTTCAGTAATGAATGCTACTTGATTTACTTGCAAATACTGCGAACTTTTCAGGCCTAAAAAGTGGAAATTTGCATGACTTTCTTGGGTCTCTATTGCCTTGAAAACGCGAATGACTAAGTCATGATTAGTTTCAGATTTTCATCCCATTGACCAAGTTTAGTCTTGAAATCTATGACATGTCGCAGAAAAACAAAACGTACAAAGGTACTTTTGACTCTGGAAATAAATTTGCTCTAAATCGTGGGGAACAGGAATAATTTGTAACAATCCACTTACCAGTGCCAAGAGGAAGAACTGCTGATGCAGGTAGTTTACACTTCATCTCTTGAACAACATCATCCAAACATGACAGCACCCAGCCAACTGTGCCATCACCACCACAGATCAAGACACGAAAATCAGGAATAGATCTGAAAGCATAAAATCTAAAAAAAAGATAAAAATCGATTTATATTTCAGATATTCAGCAATTTAAAGATGATGGGACAAAGCTGACAGAAGAAGACAAGGCTCGTAGTTTTGAGTATAGAATAGCTCTCAATGATTACTTTAGGAAGCAGCCTATACGACAAAATAGAAATCGATCCTCTGCAGGACGACGTCATATGCGGAAAACTAACCCCCAGGCCTTTTTTGGACTAAAATGTTTCATCAATCTTTGCCGTTTCCTTCTTTGTTCTATGCGCAAAATACTTTCCTATTACAATTCACAAGTCTGCACTTTGAAGCGAGGCTGAGGGGGGAGTGATATTGGGGGGTGATATTGGGTTATCTCATGTAAATATGCGTATGGTCTTTTAAAGAGTGCGATCTGCGCTAGAAAGATTCTGCACCTATCCATACCTGTACTATGGCTCTATTAGCTCGGCCTCAGTTAATTCTCGTGGACACAAAAGTCTAAGGAAATAGTTCCTACTAAGCGAGCAACTTTCTTGTAACCTCAACGATTTCGGGTGGGAACTCGTCTCGACATACAGTTTTCTAGCTATGGAGGGGGGAAGTTTAACATACCCTAATAATGGGCCTCCCTCTAAGAGGCTGTACACTTGATAAGGGTTGAGCAGCCGCTGGAAAGCTGCTAACATGTCGGCCCCCTGACCACCACCACTTTTGGAGTTTACCAGTACTAGAAGAGGTTGGCTTCCAGGGGGAAACAGTCCAGGCTATTGGAAGAAACAGAAGATAGAATAAGCATAACTCCTTTACTGTAAGAAGAGAATGACGATATGCGAAAAAAAGAAATATTGATTCAGGTCGATCTTTATCTATTCATTTGTTTTTTTAAAGTACTTCTAAAAAATGCTGTGGAGAAAGACTTTGCTATTGCATTTGCAGCTACTTACATGAATGCTGGGTAAGACTCTCACGAACAGCTCTTTGTTGTCCACGGTGGAGCTTTTAAATTTATTCACAGCATCCGCTGCTGTGTCAGCAGCAGGAAAAAACACAAACACCATACCTGCAAAGAGTTACAATGTCAAAAATAGGTAACGTAATTAACAGTAAAAAAAAAAACCGACAAAACAAAACAAAAACAAAGCTTTCAGCCATTTCTGTCCTGTGACCAGCTGTGCGATCGAGCATTATTGCGTAAATCTAATTTTCTGATTGGCAAAAGGGGCTATGCCCGCGCAGGTTTGCCTCTCTTACTCAAAAGAGTAAAACTTCTTGTAAAATGAATTGTAGCCGGTTGAGATGCTGCGTAATTCTAGGCAGCCTCATACGTCACCAGGCAGCTGCAATGGAATTGCAAAGCACACATTGCAGTCAGTCAAAACGAGGAAACTCACGGCGACTAAATGATACAGAAAAAGGGACTTGTCCTTTCTCAAGCCATGTTGACTTCGAGCTTAAAAAATAACGGATGCCGTTTTCTTGCAAACTAACAAACAAGCAAACATTGCGCAGGATAAGGGCCAATCAGAACACAGAATTCGCTTCATATTTCCCACGGGCACTACCAGCGATAATAATAATAATGTGCTTTAATAATTAAATACATGAACTGAGCTTTAGGATTACTAGTAACTCACCATAACTAGAAAACACACTTTTCACCTCACAAAATTCCATGACTGCAAAACAATTACACACAAACTGTGAAATGAAATCCAATAAAAAAGATGAGAACAACCACAAGCCTCCCTCTGCATATTTTAATGCGCAAACTAGTAGGTTGCCGAGGTGTCGTCAATCTTGTTACCAGGGCCTCTGTCACTCTTACATAGCCGAATGGACGTGGCAGCTCGTCAGGGGAACGAGGACTCAGGAAACATACATTAGTCTCTCGTAAAACAAAGATACTTATTTAGAAGCATCTGACAAATAAAGAAAACAGAACTCACTTTCTCCTAGAACGTCGCCAATCAAAGTTTTGTATTTACTCGTGTCAAGGCCAACTGGGAGACTACCAACGCATATACATACACTGCCCAAGGGTTCTAAGTTTCGCCTCAGGTAGAATCTTGTGAGTTTCATTTTCCTTACAGACTTCTGCAAAGAAAAGAAGTACATTAACTTTTATAGGGAATCCAACATCTTCAGATGAATACAAGATCTATAATTTATTGTTAAAAATCACTTTGCAGTTATCAAAGAAAGTTGAAGACAAAATGGGAGTGGAGACATGAAATTATGGAGAGCAAAGTTGTGGCCACCTCACCACCACATTTTCAATGGCTGTACCTTTACAAGAAGAAAAGTTAAAGGTAAAAAGACAGAGGAGCATCTCATCCAGATAATAAAACCTTTACACCCTAAGATCAGTATGCATATTCTCTAAACTGTTTTCTATACATTTCCTGACAAGGAGATTTTGCTTAACAATCAAGAGCTCCAGAATTTGTTGATCATTTCTATATCCTCATAACCTTAATGTTTGATTCAGGGTTGATACTGTAAGGAAAAATTAGATGCTAGTCACTCAGAGGGGTTAAGAGGTTAAAACAAACAATAAAAAAACAAAAACAAAAACAGGAGAAGGTTGGGGGAGTCCAAAACAGAGGAGAGGAGACAACTATCATGAGTGAAATTGGAGGGAAGGTGATTTCTTTAGGACTGTTCATTTGAGGAAAGGATTAAAACAAATTGTTGGAGTAAAATATCATTTACATAGAGATCTTAAGAAGTAAAGTATTATAGTCCTACTTATTAATAGCCTTAACACACCTGTTGCATCAGCAAAGTTTAAGGGCTTATTTACTTGGTACAAAAGCTGAAAATACCATGCATTCCAAAGTCCTACTGACTAATAGATAAACCTTACTTTTCTAATATCCATCAAGGACTTCCATGGACAGTCATTGTGTTCCATTCTTCGTTCATGGACTGTTAATTCCATAGGAATAAAAGAGATGTCAACCAGCGGGTTAATAATCAACAGTGCCAAGTTTGAAAATAAATGCACTGCATGGAGTTCTATGCAGTATTGAGATAATAAATACAGCAAATGTCCATTATCACCTTATTGTATGAAGAATAATTTTAGCAAAATCACCATTAAATGAGATATGTTACCTCCTTGAGTTAAGTTTACTTCCGTCAAAGAGAAATCATTCTCGTTGGCATCCTGTACATAACAATTAATTTAATTTCATGGTTAACAAAAATGTAACAGAAATTCCATTAAAATCGCACCATTGATAATGTAATTTTAATTAAAGTTGCATTAAGTAGCAGTCCAGAAAGATTGGAACATTTCCAAGAGATGGGACAAAAATAATATGGAGGAAGGAGCAAAAAATAAACATGGGGAGAAATAAATTGTTCAGAGAGGCCTTTTGACAAAAAAACTGGGCTGAGGAAAAAGAAAAAAAAACTTATGCATTAGTATTAAGAGGATAGTGAACTAGCACACTCTCACATGGCTTAAAGGGAAGGAGTCTTGAAGCAGCATGCCAAGCTAGGGTAGGTAGGGTTGGGAAAGTAGGCCACAGTGAGGTTTTAAGTTCAAGTGAGGTGCTAACCCTAAGCAGTGAAAACAGGGAGGGGGTGGATAAGAGAGGGAGAGAAGGAGAGCTGGTAAGGAGAGTGATGAGAAGAGAGGAGGATGCTCAGAGAGGGTGAGGAGGGTAGGGATGGACTATTAAAGGAAGGGAGGTAAGTGGAGATAAAAGAGAGCTAGAGAAGAGGGGGAAGGAAGGAAAAGGTAAAAAAGGAGACAGAAAGGACCGAGGGATTGGGAAACAATCAAGAGAAGATTAAGGGGAATTGGGGGAGGGAGGAAGCAAGGAAAAAAGGGAGTAAGGAAGGAAAGTACCCATAAATTGATGAGAAAACGCATTGAAACTTGAGACAAACCTTCAATCCAAATTTTTCTAAAGCAGCACTTATCACTTCTGTAACAGTTGTCTGTGCAGTCACAGGGATTATCTTGAATGTTCCTGTCGCACTGTATCAGGTATGTTACCAAATGGTTATTTTACCACATGTAGTAGTTAAGGTTAGGGGGAAAATGCTATTTTGTCCAAAAATAACACATGTGGATTGTAAATAAGTTGACAAAATAGGGGATGTAGACACAGAATTTTCAGTGAGAAGGATGTCCCTAAACTTACAATGTAAATTTTTAAGCACTGACAGATAATGCAGACAGGACTAAGTGAATTCCATGAATTAGCAGCAGTTTGGAATGACAGGCTCAGTATTACTGGTAGTAAAACTTAAATTTCCAGGACTTAATAGCTGAGAGTGCGCTTTGGAATTTCCTAAAAGAGTCCTGTAAAATCACACCAATCTTCCAATCTCTAAGAGGCATGGACTAAGAGTATGGCCTAATTCAAATTGAACCCTATGCTATTAACACCAAAATTGCACCTGCCAATTAAATTGAATGATTGTAAATACAATTACTCACTTTATCATTCCAGGGTAAACTCTTATATATCCTTTCCGTCGATCTGCACTCTAAGGTGAGGGATTGATTACAAAATGATAACATAATAAGGTTAAACATCTGTCAGCAACAACAATTAATTTCTATCACCATATTTTTGGAAGAAAATATTTTAAAATATAATAAAGGGACAGGGATAAGTTACTCAGAATAACTAAAATGCTAATCTTGCCATGTAAAATACCTGTATTTTATTTACTTAGATTTAAGGTAGTTGACAATAAATGAAAGAAAAAGAACAACAAAATGTGTGAGGAAAAAAATAAGATAATATTTATGAGTATCCAGAACTAATATGAAGTAGAACAAACAGAACTAAATTCATATACCATATGTTTAAAAGAGCTAAACATGTGCATTTCCAAAAATATTACTTATTAAAAGTAATATTGTCTGATATGGTTAGCATCTGACTAGTTGAGGAGAAGATGCAAGATCTGTGACTATTACACAACACTGTATTCATATGTCACTCAGTACTAAATTGAAACCTAAAATGGAAACAACATCACCCTTTCAAACTTAAAAAAAATTAAATAACTTTCTTAATTATTTAGAAGACAAGACCTAATTGAGCCAGTGTAATGCACATCAATCCTACCTTCATGCGAAGAAAGATTAAAGGTTTGGATGAATTTCTACCAGTAAACTGGTGAGGCTTCTCTTCAGGATCAAGGACACGTTCATTTTCTTTAACAGGAAGAGATAAAAATAATAAAATTAAAACACCAACAGGGAATTGTATCTCAGAAAAACTTCACACAATGGTGATATAACAATATCCATTCAGCTGGCTGGCCATAGAGAATAATTACTTCTCTTGTTAAACTGATAAAAAAGAATTTCTCCTTACAATAAGTGATGTGATTTCCAGCACAAAGGCAATGAGAAAGAGAAAACAGATAAAACTAGGGCTAATTTAAAACCAACTTCTCACAGCACAAGTTAAAAGAAATGTATGGCAGACAGTAAGGAGAATCGAGACTTAGAACTTGCAGGTGATAGGGTAAAAAAGCCATCCCTGGCATCTCACCTTCATCCACAGCTCTTGCAAGGTAATAATTGCTGGGATCATCTGTGATATGAAATTTTTTCAAAGCTTCTTCCTAGAAATCAGTGAAAGAACATCATTGTCGAAATTTGAAACAATAAAACCCAATGTTTGCATCTACTTGTACCAGACCCAAGCATTCTGTTGTCCTGAACAGCAGATCCACTGCCAAACCATTCACCAAGCTCAATTTATTAGATGCATCATATAAATTCTGTTTCCCAGAATTCAAGTCTTGTTTCAACTAGTTTCAAAAATTTACTATTAATGTCAAAGTTGTTAAAATCAAAACCAGTTGCACACTCACAAGAACATTGCTGACTTGAGCTGTCCTGGGAATCACTATGTTTTTACAAAGTTTTGGATCCGTTATGTCACCATCATATATCTTTAAATAAGTTTCATCTATTACAATGAAAAACATTTCTTAGTACAATTATAAAATTGATGTAAAAACATCATTATCAAGCTCCACAAATACAGACATTGTGAGGGTACATGTAATTATACCAAAAATCAACAAATATAACCACAGTGAGATTCAGCAAATGGAGAAAATATTGTGCATGAAATATTAAACAAACTCATATCTGTATCAATCATACCTGCATCAAAAGATAAACTGCTCATGTCTGTGTTATGGAGTGGGTCATCTGAGACTATACCATCATCACTGTCAACAACACCTTTCAGCATACCTATGGATAATTACAAGCAGTCAGTCCAACAGATTAGAGGAGGGAGGAGGGGGGAAGGGGGAGGGGGGAGGGGGAAGGAATATAGTGTTGCAAGCCTAGCTTGTGACTCATCACTGATCAAGCTCATCCCAGGTGACTAGGAGAACATGTAACTGGCTGCTTGCTCTGTTTCTGAATGCAGAGTCATTGAAGGCATCACATACCATTGAGCAGTATACCATTTTCCCCTTACAATTTTGTTACCTATCTATGTATGTTCCAGGGCTGGGAGATGTGCCACTAGATTAACACTTTCACTCCTAAGAGTGACTAACATCTAAATTCTCCTTACAATATCTCCTTTGAATCACACCTAAAGGTCACAAGAATATAGGAAATGATCACCAACTAAAGAAGCTCTTGATCGTTAAACAAATTCTCCTTGACAGCACCTTAACAAATGTACAATGGACAGTAAGGAGAATATGCATACTGATATTAGAGTGTAAAGGGTTAATTAGTGTGACCAGGCCTGCGATCAAGTCAAGCACATTATACAACTGACTTAACCCCTACATCAAGATCACTCAACTGATTAACATGACATCAACACAGAACAGTGAAAGACTTTATGTGAACACACCATGCTAATGATTATCATTTTGATACCCATAAATACAACAATTTTCTGGCACCTTCCTCCTTACCTCTTGATGTAGCAGACTTGCATCTGCTCTCTGAACAAGAACTCCACAAGGTGACATTTGGCATTGAAACAGCATATGGTGGTAACAAAAGCTTATGAAGATAACCAAATCCACATTCTTTAGGTAACATAAACTGACAAGAACTATGGGCCTGTAAGTAATCAGAACAACACAAAACACATTGAGCGTAAGAACAGATGTCAGGAAAATTTACGACTTCTCTCTTTTGTACCATGATCTAATTTCTACATGTGTTACATATACCTTTGACATTAATGAAATAAAACAATTTTTTATTTTAAAACCAGTAAAAACAATGAACATATTGTTTACATTTTCCAAATGAGTATATCATGAAGTTGTCATGGAAAAAAATTTATTGACATGGCATGATATTAATCAGTGAAATATCATCTATTATTACTGTAATAGTATTTCTTAATATGTTTTGATTGTAGTGGCATAGGGAAGCAGAAGCAACCCATATTCATCATCAACAGATCCCTGTCCGAATGACAGGAAATGCACTCATGGTCTGTTTAGTTCAGAATAGCTCAGAGGTAATTGGCCCTAAATTCACAAGAAAAGCATGTTAAAAAAAAAATTTTGCAGACACATGCAATTTTTTTCAAATGTACATAATCACAAGCACTCACCGCCTGCCCACACCAGCAACATTTGACACTTGTCAAACACTCCACACTTCCACAAGTTCGTTTACAGTGTGCACACTTTGCACTGGGTGGTATGTTTCCTTCTCTCCAATGGTGAGCTTGCCTTACAGACTGCGGTTGTCAACAAACTCATTTTGAATAAATGTATATGGCAAAAAGTTCCCCCCCCCCCCAGGGAAGGTCACAAATGAGTTCCTCTTTCCAAATATGAACATGATTTCTTGTTTGCAGTTACTCAACTTTTCACAAAACTCATATATCCATGCAAACCAATATTTTGCCTCAATATTAGTCCGTCTGCAGTTGTTTGAACATTAAGTTGAACATACAATTAATTTCACTGCATATGCAGGAGTTATCATAATCCTCTTACAAGACTGCAGCTCGAATAGAAATGACCCTCTATCAACCAACATCATCACCAATAAAAAGTAACTGGGATTCTGCCTCACGAATGTCTGTCAGGAGAGTTTGGATTATATCTAAACAAAGCTACAACAAGGAAGATTTATTATAAATAGTTGACAGAGTGTTGATTTAGCGGCAAGATATAGATTATAGAAAGACATACATTTTTCATGTGAGGAACATACGAAGCACACTTCTTGCAGTCACTAACACTAAACTCTTTACACTCCTCATGAACAAAATATTCACAAACTGCAATGAAGAAAGAGTTATTATTAATATCAGTTTAAAATTCAAAATGTGGGGGCACACTCAGGGGCTGTAGCCAGACTTCAGAACAAGACAAGGCAAGTTTTGAGCACCAAAGCGAGCCGCTAGGGGGGGGGGGGGGGGGGGTCTGGGGGCATGCTCCCTCAGAAAATGTTGAAATCTAGAGGCTCAGAAATGCTCTTTTATGCATTTTCCATGGCATTTTTTTCAGAAAAGTAAATCTTGGGCCAAAATCAAGACAAGGCAATTGCCTCGTCTTGCCTCATGCTAGCTACAGCCCTGCACTCAATCACATGAACAGTGTTCATAAGTATCAGTTCCATCAAATTGAGAGAGAGAGAGATTACAGTGCTCTATAATACAACTATTCATACCATCTTGTAATTGTTACACTACAGAATACCGTATGCTAATTTCCTGATTTACGTGCTCAACAGAGGAAAAAACATATAGAGATTTCAAACTTGGAAAGTTGTCTTTATTACCAGCTCCTTACTAAAAAATATGTTAAATTTGTCCTACCCTGCCTGAAAGTATTTGTGTCAAACCTCCCCCCCCCCCCCATCACTTTGGTTCAAAAGGTTTAGGTTTAGGTCATGGCTTGGATATTGTGTTTGCTGTGTTCCTTGGACAATTTCCTCTCACAATACCTCTCTCAGGGGGAGAAATGAATGGAAAATTGACATGGAAACCTGGCATAAGTTACATGTATGGTCGCAACTTGCATTATGCATTACGATTGTCCTAAGCAACAATTACAGTATTTTCAGTTTTACTTAATCCTATGTTAAATAGCATAAGGGCTACTTAACTTTTTCACAAACATTTCTCTTACAATAAAGTAGTGAAGCTCTTTGGAATTCATGTCCAAATGAACCATATTTTATTTGATTCATGGCAGACTCACCTTGACATCTAAAAGCTACATGATCTTCGAGTCTCTTTCTACAAACACAACAAAACCTTCGCCGAAAGAAAGATGGACCGCTCCAACTGTGAGCAACAGGCTCCTGAAAGGAAAACCCAAACAAGTCAGAAAAATCCCTGTTGGCAACTTGCCTCTTGAAGGTCTACTTAGATTGAGTACATGTATATCTATATGATTAAACAATTTTAATTGTAATGTGTACTAATTAACAGTCGTTCACAAGTAGTCTAGGATAGTGCTGACAGCCATCCCCTTGAAGCACTACAAGCTGCAACCATTTTGGTCGCCATAGCTAGTGGAAAACATTTTGGCACCTAAAATTTCAGCCAGAGTTGCCAATTGCAGACATGGGGCATGAAGCTGCAGCATTTGTTTTATTACATGTATGTGTTTATGCTAAAGTCAAAGTGAGACAACTATTTTTTTAAATGTGGCTAATGCTGCTTCATTGTTTTCTCTCATGAAAATTTGCCTCTTTATCTTTGGTTGTCCTGACATTAAGTCCTGAGACGCCATCTGAACCCTCGAAAACAAATACTGACCAATCAGCTACATAGAATGTCATGTGATACTACAAAATCTATTCTTTTCCCATTTCGTTTTTACTTCTCATCTGACAACCAGTTTTTGGCTTCAGGATAATTGATAATGACTTTGAAACAATTTCGACATGAAGCCTTTCAAAGAAACTTACAATCTTAGGTAAGAAAAAAAAAGGAAGAAGAAAAAAGAAAGAAAATGAACAATAGAAAGAAAGAAGGAATGAAAGAAAGAAAAAGAACTGAAGAAAAAAGAAAGAAAGAAAGAAAAAGAAAGAAAGAAAAAGAAATAGGGATAAAAAAAGAAAAAAAAATTTAAAAATGACTTTTTCCATTGTAGAAAAATTTGAACGTGTGACCTTCAGGTATCAAACCAGCAAGCCTCGCACTAGGGTTTATGAATATCACTGTCAGTGGTGTCACTATCTACAGCAGTTAGTGGGCAGAGGAAGTGATACATTTCCACCTTCTTTTTTTTACACTATAAGTATCCAGCAAGTCGAATACCAAGAGGAAAATTTCTATGGACCACCTAGCCCAGGTCATGTTTTTTCCAATTTTTCACTACAACAAGTTGGCTTCAATGATCATTAACTAAACTTATGACAATTAATTTTACATGTAAGAGTCAAGGGTCTATTATGTTCCCACTGAACAAATGGATTCCACATTGCTGCTGGTCTGTTCAGTAATAGATCACAGATGAAATTAAAAAGTGTTAAGAACAAAGAAGTGGCAACATGAGGAGCAGCCACACTTAAACATTGTGTGTGATTGACCACTGAACAGACAAACAGAACCATGGAATCCTACTGTTCTTAAAGTTGAGCTCATCTATACATCAGTCCTATAGTAGATAATAATTAACCCTTAAACCCCTAAGAGTGACCAGCATGTAATTTCTCCTTACAATATCACCACTGAATCACACATTAATGAAATGAGAATAATGGAAATGATCACCAACTAAAGAAACTCTTGATTATTAGACAAATTCTCCTTGTCAACACCTTAGTAAACATACAGAGAACAGTATGAAGAATATGAATACTGACATTGAAGTGTAAAGGGTAAATAACCAATCAAAATACACATATAGCTCAGTTCATCATATAAAAATAATTAACCATTTACCCCCAAAAGTGATTAACAAGTAACTTCTCCCTATAATATCTAAACATTATCCAGCAAACAGGTAGTGAGAATATTGATACTTATCAGGTGAAAGTTGTTACCTGGATCTGACACCAAATTCTCCTAACTTATTTACAAGGAAATGCGTAGCAGCTAGAGGGGAGAATTAATAGTCAGATCTTGGGAGTTAAAGGGTTAAATAAATAAACAAACTCACAGCTCACCTTCACCAATGATGTTGCAATGGAAATACATGGAGTTGTAACAAGTTGCATACATCGATCATGATTCACAAAATTACAAACTGAAATGGAAATGTCATGTAATAAATCATAAATTTACGTGTGTAACATTTGAATCCTAAGTATTATCTCTTAGCATTCATGCGGGTATAACCACTTCCCAAGAACATAGAGGGTGTCTGGTCTTTTGTACTTCATTGAGTTTCCACAAAAGGGAGATTGCTGAGAATGTGCATGTACAATCACACAATACTTGTTTCTGTGTCTAACATCCATAAAATGGCCTGTTTTCAAAACCTTCCCACTCCATATCACTTTAAAAAAAGTAACCATTGCAAAAACAAACAGATAAACAAAAAAATGTTCTGGCACAAATGAAAATTATGCCTCTCATTTCAGATCACATTTATGATATATAGGATTGTGTACAAATATCTGAAAAAATTAAAAATCACAAAAGAATTTAACATGCAAATACAGAATTATTGTCCACAACTGCCTCATAACTTACATTATATTCATTATGTTTCAGCTGACAAAGGTTGACTATTTTGATTCATTCAAAATACCAATAAAGCCAAACAGGAAAAGGGATTTCTTTTTTCAGAAGATGCTTAGACCCTACCCAAAAAATTATGAGACTTTTCCTTGCGGAAATCACGTCTTACTAAGTGGAAATATATTTGACGCTTTTACATATCATTTATGACGTAAACGTACGCACCCAGTGGGTGATATGAAGTCACCTTTTGTGTTTCCCACACCTGAGTTTACATCAACACAATAATCCATGACAAGGATTGTATTTTGTATTTCGAAGATAAAAATATGCTTTACGTTATTCACTTCGCAGTACTAATGCACCTTTGTAAACATAAGTCTTAAAATCACAGAGGAAGATGGTTCAGAATTCGAAAGTTGTGCGAAAATTTGCCAAATTGTAACATGAATAAACAGGCGATGTATATCTGATTAAAAGCATTCAGAAATCTGCAAAATTTTTTGTTCCTGTTCAGAATCTAGAGAAGGTTTTCAATGTACACACGCCAGTTTAGTATTTTACAATTACAGTACATAGGTACGTTCTGTTAGCTGAGTGTCAGATTCGAACAAGTAAAACCGAACACTGAGTCACGGTCGGGAATAACATTCCACCGAGGTTTTAGTCGATGGTTTACCGTGAAACAAAAAGTGCCAGATTTAAAAAATATATTGTTGATCGATTTGACTGAAGAATCCAAAAGGGGAAATATCGTTTTAAGATATGATGTGGGTTGCTAAGAAATGGAAGTCATCGACTTTTGACATGCATGATAATATGACAATTTGCTTCCCTGTCTTAATAGAAATTGACAAGAAACGGCTTAAATGACCAAGCTAATTCTACAATTAAAATCTCTATTTTCCTAATTTTCTTACCTTCACAAATTAGTCCTTGGTTTGTAAAACCCCAAAGCATGTCCGTACAGTGATGGCAATATGTCGGACGAGTGAAAGTTTTGCGCACAAATCGATGTCCACTTTGCCCATGAGCACTGAAGGCTTCATCGAGTCTGGTGTCAGATAGACATCGAGGCATAGAATGCCTAGAATCGCCATTTTCGTGCGCTGAAAAAGACATTCTGTTATCAGTCTGTTCAACTGATGGAGGGTTTCATGATAAACAAACTCGAAAGTTCCTCATTGAACGGCGTACACCAGCGAACGCGGAGAACTGGCGCTCAATTTCGTAAGAATGGAGTGGTTTTAGAGGGACTGGGAACGGTATTGTCGAAGGAAGGTGTCTTTTTGAGGATTCAATTTTTTTTTCTTCATCCAACTTCATATAGTTTCTTTCAGACTTACGAGACTTTTTTTTTCGCATCATTATAAATATCCGTTATTCAGCGAGGGTTGTTATAGTTTTGTTGAGGGTTTAATTCAGAAAACCAACTTCAATTCACAGATTTGAACGTGAGAAGCTAACAGAAGAAAAACGCATACTGCCGCTGGAAGGAAAAGGTGGATCGTGCTTAAGTTACAATCATGTGCAAACCATGAAATTTTTTTGGCAAAAAACAACGTGGAAGAGTCACAAAATCTCTATTAACAGCTGCTCTCTCGAGGACCTCGAGCGTGGTCTCTGCAGACTCAGCAGCTGGTAATGGAGCCTAGTTAAATTAAGGGAATTCGCACAAAAGTCCTCTATATGATTGCAATTTTGCAGTGGCAAAAAGCGATAGCTCTGGAAAGTTTCATCGTCGCCAACTTCGAAGTGGCGTTGATAAAGAACCCTGGCAATATTCCGTGCTTAGCCGTACCTTACGTATAAACCGAAAACCAAATGCTAAAAAAAAGGAAAATCCGTAAACCGCAATGAACACCAAAACCGAGAAACCGAAGTTTTTTGGCACAAAAACCGAAAAACTGATCTAAAAAATAGC